TTTTTTTTTTTTTTTTTTTTTTTTTTTTTTTTTTTTTTTTTTTTTTTTTTTAATTCTTTATTTTATTTAAAATAATTTTAAAAATAAGTTAAAAAAGTTTTTAAAAGATGGAATAATCCAGCTGGAGCTTTGAATTTATTGCTTTTTCAAATAGTATTTGAAAGTACGTGGAGTATATTAGTTTGGCTGTACAGATCTTTTGGACTAAATTCGAAATTTTGAGTTAGTTAAGTTGGTGACTCGAGTATCACAGATAGAATTCACAACCGAACTCAACTCTCTATTTTCGAATTAGGTTTGATAAGATTGGGTATTAAGATTGTTTTTTAAAATTATTTTAAAATTTTTTTATTTTATCACATTAATAACTAAAATCTCATAAAACTCAAATATCATCAGCAAATCAATTCAATGAAATTCGACCAAACCCAAATCGAAAAAGAAAAAAAAAAAACCTAACCCAGCCCGACAATCTTTATAGTTTAGGTTGGATAGTCTGAGTTGGTCGAGTTATAGGATTATACGAACACTCTATTTCCGACCTGTTTTTTTTTTTAAACGAACCAAAGTATGTTTTTAATTATTTTATATGTAGAAGCTATAATTATTTAAATAGTTAGCTATTTTGCAAATATGGGAAACAGTTGTCCTACCTAGCTAGCTCTTGATTGTTATTATTAACAAACCAAATATTAAATATTCAAATATGCATTGCACAAACACTATTTTTATTACAAAGTTTTTATTTTTTTAATAATACTTACATGCATTATTGATATAAATACCTAATCTTCAATGCTAATTAATTTATTATTTTAGTATTTAAAACATTTTCTAGGTGTTCTTGGTAGAAGGACCAAGATTAGGTTGATTTTAGAATAGTTTAGAAATATTGGATAAATTAAACCCTAATTCAACTTTAAATCATTATTTATGATCTATTAACTTATATTAATGAACACTTCAATCAAATTTAATTACATTTTCAACCTTAATAAATTAGGTTGATGTGTAAACTTGATTTATTGGCATAAATGTCTAACTTGATTATCTAATCTCGCTCGTAACTTCTTTTTGTTCAACAGTATTTAGGTTATTTAAGTGAGAGATTTGAACCTCTAACCTCTTACCTTGACGTTAATTAGGGATGTACATAAACGTTGGGTTATATATATATTTTTTAGTTTGGGTTGGTTGAATTTTTGGAAAATAAAAAATTCGGGTTCTTTTATAGATTGATATTATTTTTATCGAGTCAACTTGAGCAACCTGGAAAATAGAGTTAAAAACCAACTCTACCGTACTATAATTTTAAGATTATTACGAAAATTAAGAATGTTTGATGTCTGTAATTAGTGTTACTAATGCCTTGTCACTTCTAAATATTTCAAAAGATTTCATTTCCACTTCCCCGTCCAATTCTTTTGTCATAAATCGGAATAGGTACAACTATGTGAGATCTAGTAAAAACCTCTCTCTAACAGACACGTTTTAAAATCGTGAAACTAACAGCGATACGTAAGGGCCAAAGCATATAGATAATATAAGTTAGTGGTGGGTTTGAATTGTTACAAATGACATCAAACCCAGACACCAGGCGATATGCCAACGAAAACGTTAGGCTCCCAAGAGGGAGGGGGGATTGTGAGATATCACATCGGTTGGCGAGGAGAACGAAATACTCCTTATAAGGGTGTGAAAACCTTTTCCTAACCGTGAGATTGACGACAATACGTAACGGGTAAAAGCGGACAATATATATTGAACGGAAATTAACAGTGTTGGTTGGAACTAACTACCAATTGCCAGCTCATATAGTTTATTTTATTTTTTTTAATGATATTAAGAATTATTAATTACTCAACGCACGAATAAGAATATTGGAATAAAAAAAGAAAGCAAAATATTCGAATAATTTAATTAGTTAGGGAAATAAAAAATGGACATTAAATTGAATTGGTTGGTGAGGACCAAATTATTCTAATATGTTTTTATAGACAAAAGAGGGAGAGAGATTTTTTCAGATTACGACGCACGTGCTTCTGTCCACCACCATTGCTCCTAAATAAATGTTTCATAATAAAATAAAATTATAAAATATTTCCTTATTTATTTATTTATTTTTGTTAATGGATAATCCTACGTTAAATTAATAAAAATATCCAGCTTTAAAAAGTTTGCCAACGTCAAGCATAAACGATGTTGCATTCGTCGAGAAATCTAACATTTTTCTCCATCGTCTACGTTTGAAAGGGAGTAATAACCCGATGATAGGTTATATTGGTAGTTGCACATTGTTGGTAAGAGTTTTGTCTGGTTTGAACTGATTTAATCACGAGGGTACAATAACCACATGATAGGTTACGTTTAGTTTGATTTCAAGGTAGAGAAGCATTCATCGCATGGTGGGTTGCAATCAAACTTGATAAGTTCGATTTGGTTTCACCAAAGAAAATCGTTCGATGTGAGGTAGGTTTATACTCAAGCTTGACTGATTCGCTTCAATTTCATTGTGGGAAAGCGTTCCTCATAATTGCGTGTCGATAAGTTTAAACTAATATAATTCCTCTAATTTTAAGTATGTTTTGAATAGTAGTAATTTTTAGTATGATGTTACAGTGTTTGATTAGAATTTCCATACGTTATAAGGAAAGGAACATAATATTTTCACGTTTTGCAAGTTTCTTTCGGTATCAAGGTAGTAGAGATGAGTTCATTTATGGTTGGCCCACATATTTATCTTAATTCACGAAAAGTTGCTTCCTTGTGTTTATGATGTTACTTTGATGAGACTCTAGAAGATCACCAACTACCTCAAATATTAATGGAGTCATCTATGACTTAGTTCGTTTTGCAAGATGTTACCTAGTAGCACACCTACACTAGTTAAGACTAAAATTATGACTTTCATGTTTTAGGGTAGGTATGAATGGACAATTATTGTTGTGAGATCTTATATCGATTGGAGAGAGGAATGAGTGCCAGTTGGGATGTTGAGCCCCGAAGGGGGCTATATTGTGAGATCCCACATCGGTTGGAGAGGGAAACGACACATTCTTTATAAAGGTGTGGAAACCTCTCCCTAGCAGAGACGCGTTTTAAAAGAAATCCCAAAGAGAAGAATATTTGCTAATGGTGGACTTGGATTGTTACAAATGGTATCAGTGAGGAAGGTGGACACGGGGCGGTGTGTCAGCAAGGACACTGAGATCCCACATCAATTGGAGAGAGGAACGACTGATAAGATAGAGAACCACTACAAAGGGAGTAAGATTCAGATTACCTTTTTTATCGAATATCTCAAGGCAAGAACATTGTTTGATATTCGAGATCGATCATGTCTAGCTTGAATGATTCTTGTTGATCAAATATCTCAATGCAAGAACACTTGTTTGAGATTCGAATCACTCCACAAGCAAGATTGATCATGTCGAGCTTGAATGATCCATCCTTCTCTCAGCTAATAAAAAAATATCTTATATTTTTCTTTTTAGAATTCAATGTACAAACAATATTTTACATAATCCATCATTCATTGTATTGTTATGGATAGTGATTATCTTATGATTATCATCACACAACTAAACTTAAACTCTGTGAAAGTATTTCAGTGCTACACAGAACTCAAAAAGAAAGAGAAAAAGAAAAGTTGAGTGCTCTACCTCACTCAGAATTGGATGTAGCTAATTGCAGGCTTCACAGACTCTCCCTTTATCACCGCTGTCCACAACAAAAACACAAGTGTTTTGAGTCGAACACTCCAATTTAGTTGATCATAGTTCACAATCTAGAGTATTAGAACGAATGAAAATGAATATCAAGCAAATATCTTTTAGGATTACAAACTTTACAGCCAATGTGCAGTGAAAATCTTAGACGTGTTCAGTTTTTGGAAGCTGATTGAAAGATGAAAACTGCTGTCAATATGCCAACCAATGCGGTGACTCCCAATGCTGCACTAGGCAGGGGAGCCGTTACTCCAAAATTCTGCATCATGAAAACAATGATTCTGGTAAGGTTTCTGTTAATTGCTTGATGTGTCTCGTATGAAACTTGTATTACAAGACGCTATAAGGAAAACGAGGGTTAAGTCTAAGATAATGGAATTCCTCTAACCGAACAACGTAAACTACTGGAAAGAACAGCCCGGCCTACAAAAATTAGACGGCCACTTTTATATCAGATCAAGCATATTGTAACGATCCAAGCCTGCCACTAGTAGATATTGTCCGCTTTGTCCCGTTACATATCACCGTCAGTCTCATGATTTTAAAACACGTATGCTAGGGAGAGGTTTCTCCACCCCCTTGGAGGGCCCAGTGTCTTCGCTGGCACACCGCTTGGTATCTGGCTCTGATACCATTTGTAACAACTCAGACCCACCACTAGCAGATATTGTCCTCTTTAGGCTTTCTCTTTTAGAGTTCCTCTCAAGGTTTTAAAACGCATCTGCTAGAGAGGTTTCCACACCCCTATAAGAAATGGTTCGTTCCCCTCCCCAATCGATATGAGATCCCACACATATGCTGCATATCCAACAATCAGCTTAGAATAATTCAGTGGTCACTTCTTTAGCAAGCCAAAATCAGTGAGGTAAGTGTCTGGGAATATAAATGGCAGAGTTACAAGAAATTCTTCGCCCATTCCGTGGCACTTGCACGAAAAGAATGATTGGCAAAGACAGACCAAGCACTAAGTGGAATACATTCCAAATACATTTTAAGAGCCATCTTTAGTCTAACTCAACACTTTAAATGGTACTCCCGTGGTACAAGATACTTTTGTCCAAATAATTAGGGAGTGGAGCTATTATCTTATTAACAATAAGGTGTTTTGAATTAGATATGCCAAATTCCAGATTCCAAAAGGTCCAGAAATCCATAGAACAAATTTCTTTCAGCTATCAGAAATCTAAGTAACAAGACTCGAATTCTGAAACTAGAAAGGCCATACCTCCAAAAGACCTTTGCCTGTTGCTATTTCAACACTTATTGCAATTGCAAATCCTACCATTGCTAGCCGCCCAAGCCAAACATCCAGATTATTACTCTCTTGGCTACTTTGCTCACATCTTATAGAAACAGAATTTGGTTTCATTGCACGCTTCGTTTGACCAGTTGGCTTGCTTATCACTGGGAACAAGAAAAACCATTAGCCGATACTTCATAAAGTCTAGCCATAATATTGAGGAAGACAAACAAAGTCCTACATGAGCAAGGTACGATCAATCACGGATATATAAACGAGGGACAATATCTCTATTGATACTATGCCTTTTAAGTGAAATAAAAAATAAAGCCACGAGAACATATACCCAAAGTGGATCAGTTTTCCCTAACATTTCCAAAAAAAAAAATTCAATTATTATACTATTTTTCTAAACATCTCCACTTCCCTAATATTGCAATTCTAGCTAAGAATAATCATAACTCTTCATGTTAGAATGGAATTCAATTTCACCGTCACAGCTTATAATAAGCAAGAAACAAGATAACCACAATATTATAGAACAATCAGACTTCATTCTGATATTAGGGTAGTTCAATATTCATGCCCCATTGTATGCTTGAAATTGGAACTTGAAATGAAGATTGAAATGAAAAAACCCACTAATCGATAAAAATCATGAACACATCAAGAAGAAACATTCGAATTAGACTGAGAATAGAAAGAGTAAAACTCTGTAAGTACCAAGTGGAGAGCCAGTAGCAAACGTGGTTCCGAATCGGTATAAATTCGGGAGGTGACCTCTGCGAAGTGGAAAGGGTTTTGGGGCTGATCTTGCGAAGGAAGCATCTGCAACATTGTGTTCGTGTGTTTTATGAATCGATGGATATTCAGCAATCACAGAACAGAAGAACGAAATGGAGAAAGTGTGAGAGAGATGAAGAGAGTACCGCGTATGGCGAGAGAGAGGGAGGCGGAAGCATGAAGAACGGCCATTTTAGGAGCTCGATTGTCGCCGGAAAACTCCTTATCTCTTCTTCTCCAATGGCCAAATGGACAGATACCAGCAGTTGATGAGTGAAGGCCGTTTCATTCCACTTTTGCAATTGTGGAAAGCAAGACTGCCACGTGTCCTCCATAAAAAAATAAACATTTAATTTCTTAATAAAAAATTCTCTTAAATTTTGAAAAAAAAAATTAAAATATCTTTAAATTAAAAAAAGTTCCAAAAAAAAAAAAAAAAAAAAAAATTACCTTTAATTATGAATAA